AGCGACGGATCAAGTTCCCTTCCGCGCTGCAGGCTGCAAGTTGTGCTGTGAATGCTGCACAAAACAGACGCCTTGCCTGACCTGGCTGGCTGGGATGCCCAGCTGGACCTAGATTTTGCCTAAGGATTTCACAAGAATAGAGATTTGACCACCCGACCCTGCAGTAGGAGCAAGCAGGAGAAAATGAGCAACCTATGCACTTTATGATAATTACCCCTACGATAAAGGTTCCACCAAGAGGTGAGAACCTTTTCTGATTACACGTGCAGTGGTCCCAAACAACTGGAACAGCCCGCAGATCAATTACAGCTGATAGTTCAGCTCTGAGGATAAATCCTTTGAGAACACTGTATCATTTTAATATAAACACTAAACTTCAAACTATACAACAGCACAGCCAACCAAGCTTTGAAGACAAATCATTTTAAGGAACACTGTGTTTCTGACACCTAAAGAGAGGTGGCAATGCTTGCTTCTGTTAACCATTTTCAGAAAAAAATGCAAACCGTCTGGGCCAGTGAGAGCATGAAGAAGGGAAACCAAACACCACGTCAGCACATGCTTAAATCCTCTGACTTGGCTCTGCTCTGATTCTAAATTAGTTGAACTTGTGCCCGTAGGGACGGAGCAGAGCCCCTGGAACAGAGAACAGGCTGTGCCCCTACAGGGGCCTTCCCTTAACAGACTTGAAGAAACCTCTTCTCACTGCACGAGTCACTGACTTGTTCTTGAAACTCCCTGCGATGAAATGAAGGACCCAAAAGCATTTAATTGTTGAACACATAAAAGGAAGTATATTTAAAATAAAAAAAATTGGTCAGACTGTAGAGTCAATTACCATTTTTAAAGGAATTTACAGGGCTGTTGTAGATGAGTCTTTTGGAATAGTCAGTTTATCGCAATGCCTAAACTGGTTTCTTCATTGCACAGTATTTTCTTTTAAAATGTGTGCATTTTTAAACAATTACATACATATTAAAAATCAGCACTTCTTTGCTTAAACTTAATTAAAACGTTAATACTCTCAGACAACACAGATCTGAAGTGGTGAAACCAGTAATTGCCCCCTCCCACCTTACAACAAATTAAATTGAGACAAAATTACAAACACATTTCACTACATGATTATTATTAATAAAAATCAGTTTTTTTTTTTTTATAAAGTTGCCCAAAATGCAAGGGATGTGCATAGGTTTACAACTTAGTCAGAATAATATTTTACTTTATTCCCTTGGGTACGTGTTCCCATGAACGGAATGTACTTTGCTGTAGATTACAGGTTTTATCAACACAGATACACCAACAGCATGAACGCTTGCGACTGTCCACATGCATTAAGAGTCAAGACCCAATTTCAAATTTCTAAAAGTTTTACAGAGTTCTTCAAAGAGACAGTATCACGTTACCTGGATGTTACACAAAAGTACTTAAAAATACTATCCTAGGGGAAAAAAAAAAAAGAGAGAAAAAAGGCCTTTAAAATTTATGAATTTGTTTCGTAACCACTAGACTAATTACTTCAAATAAATAAAGGAAAGCCAAGTATTCCAATCCATAAAATCAGACTCTAAAAAGAATGTAGTGTTCCACCCCCGAGTTAAGGTAACAGAATCATATTATTATTACTATTAAAATAGATTATAGAAAGCAGCATCTATTTTGTGCAGTTTTTAGGGGCCCTTGAAATAAAAAGCTATGATTTCCAAAAATATAACATTCCAAAGGACTGAATAATACATATATTTAAAGATACATTTTATTAAAGTTTAGGAGAAATGATTAAAAAAAAGATACTGTCTCTTTAAATTAGCGTTTAATTTTTTTCCCCCTCCTCCTATCTATTCGGACATGACAATAATTATATTTTAGGTCACACTACATCTAGGTAGTCTCTAGGGGCCAAGACCTGTTGACACAAGGTCAATAACGAAGAGGTTTTCCATGTATGAGGTGGTTCCCAATAATGACAGATTTTTTTTTTCAATTCTCTCGTGACCGGTCTAGTAGACCCAGGAGACCGGGACCCACTGTGAGGCTGTACACACAAGCTCGATGGCTTCCTCCAGGTGCCTGATAGTTTCATCAATTTCATTGTTGATAATTGTTAGGTCAAAGTAGTGTGCATATGTTCTCTGTAAGATTTCAGACTCCTTCTGCAGGCGCTGAAGAGATTCATCCTGTTCGGCGGTCAGAAAAGAAAATGGGAGAGAGAGAAGTTGGATCCTTTTGTACTCTTCTACAACAGCTTTCTAACTGTTGCTTACAGAGACGGAAACAGGCAAAAAAGCCCTACGGAGGCCTAGGTGGATGAGATCCCCCACCTAAATCTATGGAAATCACACGGGAGAAATGGCACAATTTCTCTCTTGAAGCTGACATTCAAACAGCACTCAGTCATTGACATTACTTGAGACAAAACACAAGTCTAGCGTTAAAAAAGCAAGGCAGAGGATGGAAGCTTAGAAAGCAGCACAGACATGAGCAATGGAGACCACATACGAATAAAACGTACAAAGCGCACAAATAAGAGCTATTGGGCCTATGTCCAGGTAAGAACACGAGAAACAGGAGAGGGTATATTGTCAGGTATCGGCTGTTCCCGGTTTTGGTAATGTTTTCTGTTCAACATCAGTCTTCTGGGTCTACTTCCTTTAATAATCATTTACTGATAAGGAAGTTCTCGTTCCGTGTTACCCTGCGGTTCCTATTTCAGAGCATGCCATTTCCAGCATCTCTTAGTGGGAGATCCTGAAGACGAACCACACAGCCTGCGCTCAAGAAGGGCCAACGACAGCAGACTGGTGCTCTCCGTGGCTTTGTGTCAACGCCCTTACAGAACAAGTGCATCCTACTTTGTGGGAGCGCTACTGGACTCTCTGCAGCCAGCAGCGCTACAGCGAAGGGCTTTGTTAGCGAGGTCTGCCTTTCTGAGAGAGCGGGATTGCGAAAGGCTTCTTTCTAGGGCTTTGCAGCAATTCTAAGTTTGAATTCTCTTCCTGCAAATTCCCTTGGAAATTTAAAAAAAAAAAAATCATTTGCTGCTTTCAGGAACCTTGAAATAGCCGCAGGAAAGTAATCAAGTCCTTCCTGCCCCACAGGTTTGGGGTGGATATGGAGCAAAATTACATATGAACAGTATAGACTCCTGCTGCTCTGTAGTATCTATAGGGTTACCCTACTCGATCAATGAATGGGATATGCTTTATTATAACCGAGTTCTAGGCTGCAGGAAGTACAGACACAGTGCCTATAGCTGGTTTCACAAGAAATTATTCTGGGAACAGATTTTATCCAGCTAATAAGAGACTCCCCCCTCCCCTTTTTTCTGTTTAAACTTCCCAAGTATTTGTAATTACAGTGGCAAGTAGCTGTGGAACAGCGTCTTTCAGGTCCTCTGAAGGGAACAACCTGCGCTGCGACAGTTCTCCTTCTCTGTAGCTATGAAACCAGCCACTTCTGGAGGCTGTACCAGAAGTGGCTGGGACACTTCTGGCTGTCCCACTTCAGTGGCTGAAACCAGCCACTTCTGTTCTGTACCAAAGTTACAGTTCTGCTTCTCTCCTGAAGCTGCAGCCTCAAATGACGGGGGGATGACACCTTCACTTGGTAACCACTACAAATTTCATTCAAGTCAGACAAATACTCCTCACATGCGCTTCTGTACAAGGGATGCTCCTTGTATGGACCATTATGCATTGCCAGCGATGCCTGGAACTTCTGTAGAAAATACCAGTGCATGCAAATTCAATTTATGCTATTAACAAATTGGACAATATGGGTCAATACTAATATTAAATATTTTTGTGGAACATTTCATATCGCCCAGTGTCTTTAAGCCAAAAACCTAGTTAGGTAAACTGCCAACTTCTCATAGATTCCAAAAGAGACATCAATTTATATCAGCAGAAGATTTAAACTTTTCTGCTTAAATTAACCTACAAAGGAAAAAAAAAAAATCATACTTGTCAAGCAAAATATTTTCAGTGCTTTAAACATATCTAGCTAAGATTAATTTTATATTTAAAGCCAGTCTTAGCAAAATCATATTGCACCTTTAAAAGGGTTTTAATCTCATGGCACAAGGCTAACAGTACCTGAAAAAACCCCATGGAGCCTTAGAACTGTTAAGTCATATGTAGCTTTTTAACTGCTATTCAGATTTCCCATCAGCGTCATCTTTACCTACAAGTATGAGAACGAACTTTTCTCACTAAAGCATCTATCTTACTGTGACTGACAATAAAAATCTGAAAAACATACAACTATCTCATCTTAAGAACAACTGGTACGCAGAGAAGAATGAATACTAATATTTACCTTGCACACATAGAGGTCACAAAACTAAGATTTCAAAAAATCATTAAATTCTAATATTTTTCTGACTTAGCTTCTCCTAGATCCAACTTTACTGGGATCAAAGTGGTTGTATTTTGGAATATCTAAATTTCCTAGCCTGTTGGAAATGTAAAACATTACTTCTTTCATATACTGTTAGGGGCAGTAATAAGTTTGGGACAGGCCATTGCAGCAGTTTTCAAATAGGTTCAAACTTTCTCAAGTCCTGCAAAAAGAAAAGCAATTACAGTTCTGGATTTTTGTTTTATTCTGGGACCAAATTTCACCTGTGTTTGAGATAGAGTATCTACTTGTACATTCAAAACCATGCCAGACTTGGCTGTTTCCTCTGTGCCTGTAAGTCTTAAATGCCAAAATTAATCTTCGAAGCTAACACTTCCTCAAAATTTTTGCTGTAGTAAGTTCCTCTTAATTTCTCTAAAATTTCTTAATTCAATTTTGAATAGTAAACATCCCAGATTATTCTCCAAGAAGAATATTCTCCAGCAGTTGTGCTCTCAATAGTGTCAAGAAAGAAGATGCTTATCAAAATGTCCAGCTAGCTGCAGACAGACAAATGAATGGCCACAACTTCAGTAATTTCACATCTGGGAGCAGAACATCTGTCTTTTCTTCTTCCCCCAGCTCTCATGCAACAGGTCCATTTTATGTGGGTCTAGCTGCAGTGTGTCCATTATTGGAACACACTTTTCTTTCCTATCACTAGAATTCAGTTCACTTTCCTAATCTTCTCTCCTTCTCCACCACAGCTGGGACAGAAAGAAGCGAAACATGGCTTTTATCCACGAAATCTCTCCCACGTGCATAATGGCCACCAGTGATATCTTCAGTCTGTGAGGGCTGGGTTTTTTTCGCCTTAAAGTTCATAGGACAATAGCTGCTGCTTGTGACAGTCAAAGCACAGACTAACAAATTACTAATATTCCCTTCTAAGGCTGTGAAAAATGTATAAACACACCATCAGACCTTTGCCAATTTTGCTCCAACAGAAAGAAACTCTCTTCAATTTAAACAGCTGGTGGACTGCAAACTTCTTAAGAAAAATTCCTTTTATACTTTGGCTGTAGGAAGGGAGGAAGCATAGCTAAAGTTCAGAAGAATTTGGCTCAGTAAAGATTTACACATGGCTCAATAAAGATTTAGATCAAAAAAGTGGAGCCTGTCAACTCCTCTTTGCTGTTGTCTGGGCAATGGGAGGTAGAAAACAGCTGGAGGAAAGAGGAACTACTCCAGTGTTTCCTGATACGCTCTCTCCTCTTTCTGTTTTAGCACAGCAATAATCTGATTTAAGTTTCCTTTGCGATTAGACAGGTGGATACACTCTGGGAGATTTCCTATATGATTTAAACTGGTTTTGTGCTTTGCAGAATTGCTCATGGTGCACTGCTATATTCAGTTGGAAAGTATAATATTTTGCCTCCTCACTCTTGCTGTGTGATCCTTGATTACTGAGATATTTTGTGTGGTCTATGATAGCCTAAAGTGTCTCAAGAGAGATACTTTTAAGATCAGGTCTCTGCACTGATTTTACCACAAAGTTCAGATGTACAGCTGTAAGAGTAGAAATTTTACTCTCTAGTTTCTTTTTACTAGCAGATAATTTTAGCGCAGATATCTGAAGTCATTATTACATTAAATTTTTATTCCAATGGCAAAAGTAACGTTGAATGGGAACAAGCATATCTACATTCTAAAACTACTGAAATAACCAGGACTACCTTGTCAGCCCCTAGCTGGTACTTACAGGCAATTTTCTGCACCATTTTGGCAGCTATGTACCATTAGTACGAGTGCAGGAAAATGAAAAGAAAAGCAAAGATGAAATTTAAGAAAACATAAGGGGGGAAAAAAGGACAGTCATTTACAGAACTATTCTCAAAAAGCATAAGTAAAATAAACAAAGCAGGATAAGAGGATAAACAGAAAGGGATACTCACTATACAAATGAACCTTTGAAAAAGAAAGCATGAATGGGAAATATGAAACACACACTCTCCACCCTTGTTTTGCTGCCTTGCAGGCTGCTAACACACGGACACAATTTGTGTATCTCCCTTCATGCAGCCCAGTAAACCTTGGAAAATAGGATCCTGTATTCGGGTAAGGTCTGTTGCTATTATCGTTTCCTGCTCCTCCCTTTCCTTAAGTTTAACTGATTCATAAATTAGCATGCTTTATAAGTGTGGCCTCAGTTCAGCAATTCATGTGCCTGAGTGAAACCCTGTGTGCACAGAGACTTCAGTCACAAGAACTTAAAATAAAGACACAGCCTTACAGCACGAATGCAAATATTTAGAACGTAATACTTTACTTCTACTAATATTTCTTTGGCATGAACAAATATTTCCCCACCACTACTATAAAAGGTACATTTCTGTCCTCTTCCCAGTGTACTATGCAAAATGTTTTCTCCCTCGTATGAACTGTCCCAAATGTCTCTGTATTATATCCTACAGCTGGAAGATTAGAAGTTAAGTACCACTGGCAGATGAGTGAGGCCAAGGAAGACTATTTGGGAGCTGAGACACAGGTATGGAGGCAACAAACCCAGGCAATTACATCATTCCACAGGGTACCTGGCTGCCTGAGCGCTGCTGTAAGCACAATGCTTGCCTGACACATCCTAAGAACGATTCTAGCTATTTTTAAGTGATGCCATGCCATTTGCTTGCACAAAAGCAAATTCAGTGTAGAATACAAAATTTTAGTATTTTCTCAAGATCATACCGATTTACAGCATACACCAACACCAGCAGTTAGACAAACTGTCACTTCACAAACAGTGCAAATTGTGACGTTCTGAGAGATCTTCGTCTGTACACTCGTGACATTTACCAGTTAGGGTACGGATCCATATGCCACAGTGAAATGACATAACTTACTGCTGTGCAAGTTAAAAGATCCTTCTTCCCCCTCCCATCTCTCTTCCTGGCTATATGCTTTCACTGCTTGTTCTGGCATTGGTGCTTGTCAGAGCCTTTGTGAGCTGCTTGAAAACTGAAAAAATCCCATTTGGAGCTAAAGTAGCTCACTAAAGGATCTGGTAAGTGCCATGGCCAGTGCAGACTGGCAGTATATGTCCCAGAAGCAAGTTAGAGAGAATCACTCCCTTCAGCAACAGCGAACCAGTAGAATGCCTCAGCTGCATAATAAATAATAAAAGCTGCAATAAAATTGCAGCTCGAGGCCAATAATTTTCACTCTCTACTTGCTATTTTAACAATCATTCAGGGTATTTGCATTTAAATATGTTTGCCTTGTTCCTTATTTTCCTGCAAGCCTCTGCAGTGATGTCATAGTTTCATACTTATGATATTGTAATTACATTTCTATAGAAACAGGCTGTAGAGACAGGGCTTCTGACTTTATTTTTGCGTGATCAAGGAGACATCTAGGAGATTTGGAATAGATTCATGGTCAAATCCAATTGATTAAATACCTTAATATCATGGTTTAAAAAAGGCCGAGCAGTTAAAAGTGTTTGTATAAATACTGTTTGCCCTGTTGTGAGCTAAATCCAGAATTGCCTGATATCATCTTTGAAATCAGTAGCAATCCGCAGAGCAGATACTCTACAAAAACTAAGTAGGAAATTCAGGATATGGGCCTCCATGAATACTTAACATTATTCCAGAAGCAATTACCCCTTTGGTCAAAGCTTCCAATTCTTGGAGAACAGTCTTTGAAATAAATAAGCCTTTTTCTGATATATATTTGCTGTACTAGAAGATAGAGGTGGGATGACAGCACAGTCACGCACACCCATTTCTTCAGTTCAGGCCAGCTGTAATCTAGTGCTAGCACTGCAACTCAGAATTGAGTAATTTGTGCTAATGATTTGTTAAGGATTTGGAAATGGATCTTTGAGCTAGGGCAGGGAATGAAATAAAAGAATATGTATTTTTAGAATACATCATGTGGATCCTTCAACTTGAAGGTCATATTTTGAATTAGAAAAATCAGTTAATAAACAATAAATACCCCTCAATCAACTTAATAATGCTGCCATACAATTGTCTTTCTGCCTCTCCATTTACAGACAAGGAAACAATTAAAGAGTCTTATCTGCATATTTGAATGCCATCCTTAATTTTGTCTCTGATAGGACATTAGAGTGCAACATGCCATACCTCATTAATGCCCGGGGTAATCGTAGGTGCAGCAATAAAAACAACAAAAGGAGCAAACTCTGCAGTTCTCAGGACCTTCAATGCCTAGGTGAAAAAAAATCAGACACTTTAGAAGAATGCCCCAGCAATCAATGTGAAATAAGTTTAGTCACACAAGCAAAAGATACAAAATCATGATTTACCAACGCTGGTATTTGTTTTTAACTGATCTGGAGTCAAGACCTTAGTAATATAGACACTTAACTTTTTGTATTATTTTACATTCTTGGTGGTCAAACTATATATTTATCCTTAATTAAAGTGAGTTTTCAAGACAATGAAAGCTTTAGCATTTTCAGAGGGGCTCTTCCCATACAGTCTCAAAGACTGCAGCATTCTGTTTGCATTTAAACTGAATGATTAACACCAGGTAAAAAAATTCAGTCATGCCATAAATAGGGAAAAGAGCCAACTGTATTTTAGAATAAAACTTGATTAGAATATAATTTTTTGTCTGACTTTTTCTAGTCAGACAAATAACTTTTTTGTTATTATTTTCCAAAACAAACGAGAATGTGATGTGAGAAGTTTGAAGTTTTTAAAAAGTAAGCCTAGTGAAGTTTTTTAAAAAGTGAGCATAGCACTAATGCAGTAAATGAAGTACCAATCCCCTGAACCAAATCTATGCAAAAGAAAAGAGTTCTCATTAAAAAGTTGATGTAGTCATAATTTACTGAGTGACCCACGGAGCTGCCATAAGTGAAACTTTGGTACAGATCCAAGCTAGACCGAAGTGCAGGACAGCAAGCAAACATATCTCAGATGAACGCAAACGGATGGACAAGATAAAGTAAGACTACTAAAGGTCAGTCTTTTTTTGCTCCTTCCACTTCCTGTCTTCTCCAAACTTTAAAAAGCAAACAAAAACCCAACCAAAAACCCCAATCCATCCTTTTCCCAGGCTAAAGAGGTTTTAATCTCTGCTGCTTGAAACCCACCTGTATATATCATCTATGCCAACCTCCTCTAAACAAGAGATAAAACTCCAGATGTGAAAGTCAAGAAAACTCACAGAACTAAGAGTACCCAAGGGAAAACAGGCAAGTGGTGTAAGATAACTAGGAATAAGTCCACAGACAGGCTGGCCTTAATGAGCTGAGGCGGATCCATGAGGAAGCTGGCTAAGAAAGAGGCTTGCTGGACACATGCTGGAGGAAGTGTAGCAAAGGTGGCTGTTACCAAATGTAAATATATTCTAACAAAGATTAAAATGGCTTCTGAGAATTGCAAGGCTTCTGAATAACGCAAGTTGAAAAGGTTTATCAAGAGAGTTTGCTTTTAACAGCTGCTCCATTTGAACTAAGTATAAATGCTGCTCTCCCTGAACACTGTTAAGTGTGGGATTTTATTTTTCAGAACAGCACCACACCAGCATACTATGTGAACTGTCCTAAATAATTTAGTCAGGTATCTTATTTCTGTTATGAAATTCTAACTAAGAATTCTAACTAATAATCTAAGAATTTTAACTTCTTGAGTCCATTCACAAAGGAGAAAGAAGGCAGCAAATTTAAATAGATAACACTATTACCCTCTAATACAGCATCAAAGAGAAATTTTTGAAAATATCGAAACATTGCTCCTGGCAGGCAATGACAATCACTTGTTTTGATACATTTCACTGGACATAGACTAATGTATTAAAAAGTTACATGGTAAGTAGCTTTTCAAGCTATAGGGGTTGCATACCAAGCTAAACTATGAATTTGTTTCTGCTGTATGTTCTTCTAACCAGATGAATACCAGAATTCTACTTCACAGATTGATACCTTGGTGTTCCAGGGCCTTTTGTTCCAAATTACTGTATGCATTACTTATCTGGTGTCCAATCAATAAAAATAAATACATCTCAATAAAATAAGGTTGAAGGATTTGTATCAGTCCCATCTTCAAATACTTCTAATTAGTTACCTGAGGTTCTACATCAAGTATTGCAATTAGTCCCTGCTCATGGATCTTTCGTATTGTTTCCAGTTTTGTCCCATACATTGCATCCTCGTGGCTGCCATATTCCAAATATTCATTGTTTGATATATCCTGCATCATTTGGTCATGTGATACAAAGTAGTAATTTTTCCCATTTTCTTCATCTTTCTTTGGAGGTCGGGTTGTGTCTGAAAATACGAAATATTTTTAGTACAAAAGCAATATTAAGCTTATATATGGCTTTTTGTTTGGTTTATCAATACTTATTCACTGAACGATGACCTGTCAAATCACATACAGAACAATGAAGCATGAGCTTGGGGTAGGCAGAATGACAGGGGCTGGGAAAAGCAGGAGTCTGGGGGATGCGTGTTGGGAAAAGCAGGAGATGAAGGGATGTGTAAAAGGTAAAAATCAAAAGGTAACAGAGGAAGAACAGAAGGTCATAAATAACCTTTACCTGGTCAAGACTATAGACTCTATCAGCTGCTTTCAACAGCAAACAAAGGCCAGATCTCGCAGTTTTTAATAGTTTCTAAACAATTCAATTAACATCTCCATTTTACCCCAGGGGCCGGTACTGGGCCCAATCCTGTTCAACATCTTCATTAATGATCTGGATGATGGGGCAGAGTGTACCCTCAGCAAGGATGCCAATGATACAAAACTGGGAGGAGTGACTGATACACCAGAGGGTCGTGCTGCCATCCAGAGGGACCTTGACAAGCTGGAGAAACAGGTTGACAGGAACCTCATGAAGTTCAACAAGCGGAAGTGCGAAGTCCTGCACCTGGGGAGGAACAACCCCATGCACCAGTACATGCTGGGGGCTGACCAGTTGGAAAGCAGCTCTCCAGAAAAGGCCCTGTGGGGGGTCCTGGTAGACACTCAGTTGAACATGAGCCAGCAATGTGCCCCTGTGGCAAAGAAGGACTAAATGTATCCGGGGCTGCATTAGACAAAGTATTGGTAGCAGGTGGAGGGACGTGATTCTTCCCCTCTACTCAGCACTGCTGAGGCCAAACCTGGAGTGCTGGGTCCAGTTCTGGGCTCCCCAGTACAGGAGAGACATGGACATACTGGAGAAAGTCCAGTGAAGGGGCACTAAGTGACTGGAGCATCTCTCCTATGAGGAAAGGCTGAGAGAGCTGGGACTGTTCAGCCTGGAGAAGACAAGGCTTAGGGGGGATCTCATCAATGAGTACAAATATCTAAAGTGAAGGTGTAAAGAAGATGGAGCCAGTCTCTTTTCAGTGGTGCTCAATGACAGGACAGGAGGTAATGGGCACACGCTGAAACATGGGAGCTTCCATCTGAATGTAAGGAAACACTTTTTCACTGTGAAGGTGACCGAGCACTGGCACAGGTTGCCCAGAGAGGTGGTGGACTCTCCATCCTTGGAGATATTCAAAAGCCACCTGGACATGGTCCTCGGCAACTGGCTCTAGGTGGCCCTGCTTGAGCAGGGGGATTGGACCAGATGACCTCCAGAGGTAAGGATCTCAACCATTCTGTGATTCTGTAGGTCATCTGCTCCTCTTTTCCCACAGGCACGCTTATCTTTCTTCTAATATTCCCTCATATACTGATTTACTCTTATATTTTTACACTATCACATTTATGTTGGTGACATACCTGAAACACCACATCTCTTCCCAGTCTAATCCCATACCTTCCAACAACCCTATCATAATTTCAAACAAGGTATCCAAAAATTGAATTCATCTTCTATTTTTAACTATACCTACTACTGTTCTGAGGTTTAATTAGCAATGTTCTGAGGATTAATTAGCATATTTTAAAGATGAAAAGTTCTATAGAAATATTATAGATCATAGTTATTATTTTAAGGAATTCAAGAACAATGGATTATATAAACCATATAATATCACTATACTACTCACTGCTGCCCTAGGTCTACTGAATTTACATACTCTTCCATTTCTCCCAAATCCTCTTCTTTTGTAAAAGCATTTCTGTATTTTCATTTTTTTACTTAAATTCTTATGAGGTTTTCTTCTTCTGAGTGTGAACGTGTAAGTCTGAAAAGTGGGTGAGGGCCTGATTACTTGTGGTCAAGAGAGATGAAAGCTACTTAGCAATAACATGCTTTTCGAATATATTGCTTCTGCAGACCTATGTGGTAAGAGTTGTATGGCCTACTAATCCTTTTAATTAAGTACCATTGTGTGTGACATGACTTTTATGATCAGGTTTTCAGTAAGTAGATAATTTCTTCATAAAGCATTCCCCAAAACGCCACACCCAACTTAAGGCCTATCTCAGAAGCTACCTATTCCTATCACGGTTTTGTAAAAGAATGCAGAAAATGCAGTAAAATCCATCCCTCAGAGTTGGAGAGAATAAATTCAGTTACCTAGAGTCAGCTGAAAGACAGATCAGGTTCCCATACTTAAAGTGTATGTGATATATTTTGTATGATCTATTTATATCACTAACATAAGGAAGTAATTTGGGTCTCTAAACACCAGCATAAAGTGCTATTTTAACTGCCCTTAATGCCTTAGATCTGAAACACCCACATAGGACTATTAGATATAACACAGGAGTTAAAGGAGACATTGCTCTTCTGGAGTGGTGCTGGAGGTCAGGTGATGTCTAAAACAGGCATCTAAACATCATACTGATGCTTAAGCACCTGAATTTCATCCTGATTTGCAGTCGAGTCTCTTTAGTCTTCTTACATAATCAGTGAAGCAATTTCAGTGCTTCCACAGAGCAGGAACCTAATGCAGGCAATCTAAGGCATGGTTGTCACGGTATAGGCGAATCCATTTTAATAGGCATTTGAAGATAAAATAACTAGCTCAGCTTCTACCTCCCCACAGCAATACAGTTAGTACTTGAGAGAGACTGCGTGAAAAGCATGCTGTAAAACATTGATTAGTTTTAAGTTCTTTGTAATGGAGAACATATTTGCTGGGTTACTACTCCCTCCCCCCTGTATAGTCTTGTCTGTATTGAATAACATAGGTACAATGTACATCACATACTCCTGGCACCGCACTTTTAAAGTGTCTAATCCAGGATTTTAGTGTCTAGATATAAACAGCAGTGTGACAAACAGTGCCGTTTCACATTGCTGCTGGAGTGGTCTAATGGTTCATGCTTTCAAAAGGGCTAGGTCTTTCTGTTTTCCTTCTGCTGGCACTGGTCTTTGTCTAACTCCTTAGCGAGCAAGCCTGGGGAACTTCAATCAGCAGCAAACTAATCCTTTCCCCCTTCCAAACAGGTTTACAGATAAGTTCTTAAAAGTAATACTTTTTAGCAACAACAAAAGCCTTATAGGCAGAAAAACACCTAAGTGCAATTTTAAAGTAAAGCACTAGCAAGGTATAAAGAAAATTAAATTAATGCATAATGGTCATCAATGTCACTTCTGAGCCATGCATGGGGCTTCTGAAGTCAGCCTGAAATAGAGCGGACAGATTCAGCTGCTGGACGCTCTTGTTTCAGAATGCCTAGCTTGAGGAAAAAGGGTGCATCTCCAAGTGATCATGTAGTAGGATATGCAATTCCTGCATGGTATTGGCAGAGATTGTCACGAAGGGAAAACCCCCCTGTGCTCTTTGTAACAACCCACTTGTAAGCAGTGAGGTTAATTGCGTTTTTTCTTTTTCTTATTGTCGTCTCTGGAAACTTGAAGTTATTTTAGTATAATACCAGTCCTCAAGGCTAGGCTGTGAAAAGTAATTTAAAACACTGAGATAAGGTACACATTAAAGTTTTCCTCTAAATCCAGTTTATACTTCTTCTCATGGGAATTATATAGTTTTCAACGTCATGGCTGTTCCAGTCTTAGCTGAACTGTAAATGCAACATTAGCAGAGAAAAATGAAAAATGTTTTAGCCTTCACTCTAAATTAACAAACATTTGGGGTAGAGAGAAGTATGCTTAACAAGACGTTTTGTGAATGCTAGGAAACATTCCATGTAAAAGTGGTGTTACTTACTACCCCTCCCTCTGAAAAAACAAAAGAAGAAATATACCCAGTCCTAACACAGTTCCCACCTTTAAGACAGGATTCGTCTCAGCAGAACTGAACACATGTAGTACTACAATGGGTATATTGTCAAGGATGCTACAAAGCAATTCTGCACTACATTGAACATTGCTACTTACGAGGAATGGGGTAAGCAAATCTGTCCGGGTGTTTTGTGATGAGTGTGTTTTTTATGTGTCTTCTTCCAACACCATGCGCACCTAATCCACAACACAAAAATGAATTATAAATTTTCCACCAGAAGGGGTTCAAAACTATGCTGTTATGTTCAGAATAATAACTCAAAATTACCTAGTAAGACTAGTGTTTTCCTTTTGAATGCTGGCAGTTTTACTACTTCTTCATACGTGACGAGATCTAATTGATCAAACACTAAAACACAAAAGAAACCCCCACAGGGATAAGAAAAAAAGGCATATTAAGGGTGATAATTAATTGTGCTACAAATTATAATTTTAGCAAGTTTTAGATTTACAATACAAAGTAATATGTTATGGAAAATAAAACCATTTCATTATGCAATTTTAACAAGTGTTCATTTAAAAAACTGTGAAAAAGCAATAACAAAGCTACTGAAATGCTCAGGAAAGTTTGCATGTCCTTTCATGCAGTGTTCAGCAGACCACAAAAATTAGCTAAAATGGCATGCCATTCACGTTTGCATTCCTAAGAAATAGCAATACTAAAGAAAAATCTGTAGACAGTGACCAACATGAATACAATATGAGAACATCTATTTACACTAAAGATAGGGATACTTTCATAATCATGTTTTAACAAGATCTGTGAGAAATGTATAGAGGAGAGAGTTAATACTTTGTGGTATATGTTCTTCAAAGCTACCACCGTATTAATTGTAGTTAGAGTTCTCTTTAAACACACGTGCTAGTTAAATTGACATGCTTTTAAAACTTGTGACAGAATGACGAATTCTAACGAAAAGTGATGGCATTACATAAAAGAACCTCCACCGTATTTAGGGAAAAATTGTAAAAGTATTATTTCAGAAATAATTTCAACTGCAGTTGAAATTGGATGAATTCCATCATGCCTATCAATCTACTGTCAATTGCCAAGGTATGTAACGATTGACAAATCAAGTTTTGTTCATTAAAAACAGCTTATTGCTCCTGTGTCCAATAACACATCATCTGTGGTAATTCTTGCAGAACTCTAATGAAAGAAGAAGCCAGGAGGCAGCTAATTATATTTATAAAGATTACACAAATCAGCAATTGTGAGCCGAATAACAAACAAGAGTTTTCAGTTCTGTATTTATGCGTGCTATAAAAAAGAAGAGAGGAGAGACTGCATCTAAAGTATGGGATTCTTTGAGTGTTTCCAAGTCCTAAGCGGGTGTATTCACCTGAACTATACCCCATCCATCTTTTAGGATGAGTCCGGATATATCCCTCTCCCTCTCGCCCTATCCAAGACCCCTTAGGAAAGTAGGCAGTGGCAGGAGCTTTAGTTTCCTTGCTCCGAAAGTCCCCAGTCACCAAGGTCATCATTAAGACTGTGCAGCCTACCAGAAAGCACATGCTTTTGTACTAAAGTCCCAGTTAAAGCAGCAAAGGATTTAGCTTAATGTATTTCTTTTTATAGGGCAGATTTTTCAATTCAACGGCAGTCTTTTTACCCTAGAGAAAAAATACAACTACTTTAATTTGGTCAAACTACAAATTAGTCAATTGACATACTCAAATCTTTAAGACCTTGAAAAGATACAGATATGAAAACTTCCTAGTCCATTTGAAGCAATTTGAATTTAATTCTAAAGAAGAATCTCTTTCAACCTTTCCCCAAATATTACAAGCAAGAATTTAGTCATATTTTTCTTCCATTTCACAAACCTACAAACATGGAATTCTTACTACTGTCTTTTTTGCACCTTCACACTATTTAAACTAATTAATAATTCATTTCATATTAGAAAGGGCTAAAGATCTACAACACGTTAAACAGTTTCACCATTCTAACCATCTAGGCCTGCAAGTATCTTTTCTCATTAAAAAATAATTAAAAAAATCAATCCTTTATTTTCTTCTTGAACAAAACCACATTATGTTAGATACAAACAACGGGAACAAACAACAGAAACGATACATATTAATGCCTTCACCACAAACTAGCAGCATGGAGATGTGTCTCAGTCTACATGGAGTTAACTAATGATTGTAGGGTTTTCAAATGCAAAAGAAAAATGGTTAATTTTTTAATATACACAAGATAGGAGGAATACAGGGCACATTTAAAGACTGAACTTTAATGCTTCTGTGTTACTAGCTAATAAAGAAAAGGAGTTCTTGAAAGGAAACAGTAAGAAGCAAATAAAGAGGCATTGTCACTTGACAGGTTACTTACATGCACAGAGGCCATTGGGAGTAAGACAGCATGAAAAATGTACAGGGGTCATTGAGATATGGCTCGTAATATATTAGTAAAATAAAAAGTATATGCACAAAATAAACTTTACCATGCAATAGTCTAAACACAAGGCAAATAAATCACATTAAGAAATGATAAACATATTTTATAAAAGCTTGGCAATTTTCTACATTATGCATAATATGAAGCATAGTTCTACTATGTTCTAAAGAGTGTTCTTTTATGACGTCCTGCAATAACATTTCAGTAAAATAAATAAAAAAATATATCTAGATATCACTGCAGTATATCTCTAGAGCATTTATAAAAACGTCAGTGAACCTAATAATGAAAAATATTTAATTTTTTCTGTGGGATTTGGTCTAAAACCAACTTTACAATGATGTATGATCATGAAATTGTCTCTTGAAGGACACAATAGTATCAAGTTTGGAGGAAAGAAAAAATGGCATGATATTTTTCTTGTAAAGGAGAATATATTTGCTTTTAATTATAAAAAGCACCTGAAATATTCTCCTCTCTACTTCACAAACTATGTCTGATTTGCAGAATAATTTCATTTCTAGTTCCAGTAATATCCCAATATATCACACCAAAATCTTGGCTCTCAAATCATTAGCTAGCCACACAAATCTTAGTTGACTATGGAGTATTTTACTAGGTCATTTCTCAGCACCCCAGTTCAGTCTCATCTCTAAGACAAAAGTAACAGGGAAGTCCCAATAGGTTACATACTGCTAAACGATTTATTGAATTTTATACTAAGATATAAGAGAAATACGTTCTGCTTTCTTGTGAGAGCAACATTTTGACATCTGGATTAGAATTCTCAGTTCCAAATTATTTATACTTATTTTGGATCCAACAGAAGAAAAGATCTGTTTTTTATTCTGAGACAGATGCACTGAAAGCTTGCAAAAGCCAGTGTTGCCGTATTTCTGACTAACAATACCAGACATGAGAGAGTAGTTCAGAGAAGGTAAATTCAGTACCACCTTAAACTTAAACTCATGTGAGCACCATAGCATTTCAGTGAATCTCTTTATAGCCTACATTTGGCATCATTCCCCAGAATATTAGTGGTATCACCTTTAATACCTCAAGGACACTAAGCTCAATAAACATTTCTAAGAGAAATCTTGATTCCAATCCGTGTTTTCATTAACTTTTTGACTTCTCAGGGGGAAGGGGAAGTGTCAGATGGTATTCTGAAAAGAATAGTTTCTTTTATGGTCATTTTGGTAATTTTTAATGTTCATGTTTCTAATTTTTGGCAAACACTGTAAAGTGACGAACAGCACTGATGGTGGCAAGCACTAAGGTAGGCAAACCGTGCGACTCAAAGTGCTGTCAACCTTCTTCAAAACGTCCCCCTAAATCAAGATAAGAAAGTCTGGATTACCTTCCTTTCAGGGATTTAATTGATACAAAGTCTTTGAGCTAGTTTTGCTCCTAAAGTATTGCCTGCTCCTTCACCTTCCCTGGCTATGCCGTGCTTAGTCACACTGACATTATTAACTACGTAGTTGCACTGTGAACTGTATTAAAAAAATGTAACTGCCCTAAAGAAAAAGAATCAGTGTGTTTTGTTGGATTGCTCTTCAGTTAATCCAGTTAACAGCATGGCCACGCAAAGTTATACTGGCACAACTGAAGGGAGCAGCAATGCTGTGGGAGTGTATGCTGAGAGCAATTGATAATACTTTAAAACCAGTGTTGTCAGAGACTTTAGGTCATAAAATCCAGTTTATTCTCAACAGTTTTTGCTAAGGTCATCATTAGTAAAACGTGGTTCAGTGCTACTGCAATGAAGTGGAAACATTAAAACAACCAGAATGTTAAACCAGCAAAAGGAAGGAAACAAGTTAAAGCTTTCAATCTCTACATGTAAGCGTTTTCAGGGTAACGAGTAATTTTGTATTTAACTGTGAACATCTTAAATGTGACGGTGAATTAAGGAGTATAAATGACAATTACTGTTCTTTGACTTTCTTAGATTTTATTTTCAAATGACTTTTAAGTAAACATAAATTCTGTAGTACTGATAAATTATGAGCTCTGATACTTTACACGGATTGTACAGGTAAGGAGAAATGTGAAAATAAAGATTTATATTGTTTAACTGCTGCACTCAAGAATGCAACTGAAAAAACCCCAGAAATTAATGCAATATATAAAACACTTTCATTACACAGTTTGGACAGGTATATCTTTTAAATTCTAATAAAAGTCTCTGCAAGTCTCCCAAGAGACCACAACAACATATTTATCATCACAGTATGTGATATCAATGCAAAAGCAATAGAAACAGTTTCAACACATCGAGTATTTTATATTAAAAGAAGAAAAGAACTAAATTCCGCTCATGAACAAAGGGGTCTTCCTTCTTTACTACTAAAACTAATGAATTTTGCTCAGCAAGGATCTCTTACTCTACACTTCTACTTTCAAAATTTTCTAAAACAATTCAATTTTTCAGCAGTCTAAATAGAAACCCAAAACTCAGGATTCAGGCAGAAATCACTGCAAGGAGGATAAACTTCCACAGTTTGTTCTATTTGGTAACTGTAAATAACAGACTGGCTACGCAATGGCTCTTATTCCACTTCCAGCTGTAACGCTTCAAGAAAAATGCCCTTTCATGATGTTCTCACATATATAGTCTATAACTATAAACACATATTAACAAGGATGCTACTGAAGTCTTCTGTAGAGCACAGTACAGTTATATAGATCGCAAAATTCATATCCTGTTGGTTTCTAGTGCTCCTTTAAATATAAAACACAAAACAATGTAAGCCTATATTAGGATATATTATGATGCATTTATTTTGTTGCCGCTTGCCTCTCACCAATTAAGCTGTATGTTTAAATAGCCAAAAACAAGCAGAGTAATGCTGGCATAATTAGAATTTTACTTATATTTTCCTAAGTAGCTCATTAGGTTTATATAACAGTGCCAGCTGAACAATTAATGGCAAGGTTTAGATTGTAAAAAATTTAACCTGTTAAAGATACTTGCATTTTTTTTTTCATACCTGCATTGTGCTTTGCCAAATATTTGTCTTTGTACTGCTTTTTTTTCTTTCCAAACCAAGTACAGCTGGCCTGTTGCTCCTGTTTGGTCTTCTCCATGGCAATACAAGCAACTCGCCTGGCATATAGAGGAGAAAAAAATTTTTTTGTTGTAAGCAATGCATTTTTAAAAAGTCACACAGAATGAATTGTAAAAATAAGTCTTTTCAATAGTACAAGAGTACAGGAAAACTTTTCAAACCCTTTTTTTTTGATGACTTAAAAGCACTTATATACAGAGGTATTTTGATATAAAGAATATCTTCTTAGCAGTAGATCATTAAAGCTCACAGATCAAGTGAGCATGGGAGGAAGGGTAGCTACTAAAATGGCTGCAGAGCACTTTGCAGCAGATTAGACTGGAAGAGCATGGGGTCTGAAAAGACCACTATGGTCTAAATTACTTCAGAGCAAGTTGTGTTGTGGAACTGTTTTGAGGTCAATCTTTAGGGTGAAGTATTGCAAGTGTTCCTGTTGCAATGCATACCAGAGTCTCCCTTATGTCAGGGCTTGCAAGGGAGCTCTTGAGATGGAATGAAATGTCTTGTCTGCCTCTGTTTCTCTTCTAGCAGAATCTCCCTTAGCCAGTCTAGGTGGCACAGGTGCTTGTTAAACCCTTTACAGCACTCTAGTTCTTTTCTGTATGAAATCTTGTATGAAATATTTTGGGCTAGATTACCCATATTGATAAACTTTCTGGAGTTATGGCCATGACTTTCATGGCCCAGGACTTGCTTGCCAGAGTTTGTGCTGATACATTTAAAATATTTACTAAACAGCTTCTGCAAGAGGTTATTTAAAGGCTCTGCATTGCTTTTGCGGTACTCAGTGCCATTGCTGTTCATTGAATCTGTCATTCAGGAATCTTTGCACTGTGACTTCTTTCTACTTTTTGGCTTTCACATGAAAAATGAAAAGGAGAGAAAACCCCCAAACTCCCTCAATGATCTTTGTGCTTGACATCTTGCTAACACCTTATTCCTGCAGCACTCGCATGTAAGCAGTACTAATGAAAACACTGTTTAGAACCTAAAGGAGAAATTAACTTGACCCCCTTACATAAACAATTTGTATGTAGCCTTCAATCCTGGTTTCCTATAGTATATCAGAAAGCACAAACAATGTTTACTAACACAGGTGTTTATTTTTCTAATGTAACCACACATATGATACTGCACGCAACCCTTACTGCTATGCATATACGAGGACAAAAAAAAAGTCAATGCCACACAAACTGAGGCAGTATATAGACTTTTTTTTTGAAAAAAGAAAAAATTACACAAAAACTAGCTATACAACAATGAAAAGCGTGAAAGAGAAATAAAAGCAAAGCTAAATTCATTTTTATAGAAAACTTAAGTCATACCATTCTTGAAGTTCAGGAGAAGGAATAAGACCTGCAGTACCATTTTTGGAGTTCTCAAGTTTACCCTGCCACCAGTTGTGATCATCTTTGCTAATGATTTGGATAATATCACCAACTCGGAATCTGATGCCAGCTTCTTTGCAAGGAATGAGGTCATCCTTTGCTGGATCATATTCAAATTGTGCTCTTACATATATCTATAAAAAAGAGTTTATGAAAGACTGCGGTATTATTACTGGTACAGTATTAAGAGTAACAGGTGAAAATTTGATCTGTGCATGTAGCTATACATACTGTTTGCAACAAGCAAAGGAAGAAACAGAATGGCAAAAGCATAAGTGATAGCTGAAAATGAAACAGACCCCCCCCCAGCAAACAATGGAGACTTATGATGTTATTTTGAAAGCTCATGTCTTCTACACACTGTAAAACCCAAACAGCAAAAATGAACACATGTAATATAAACTGATAGAGTCCCTCAAATCAATATTAACTATCATAAATCATTACAGACTAAAAGCCAGCAGCTTACAACTTGAACTGTACTGTACTTTCCAACTGAAGTCCCATGATATGTTTTAAAAATTTGTATGACAGGAAATTTATTGGACAGTATAAAGGACTTAGGCTACATTACTGATCTTTAGTATTCAGACTGAAAAAAGTACCTGTGGGGTTTTTTTTTAGATTAAATAGGAAGTCCTGTGTTGCATCTATCACATACAGTTACTTGGGAGGAATCTGGGAATTCTCTGCATGGGTTTTTCAGTAAAAGTCTACTCCCATATAAATGAAAACTAATGATTTGAGTAAGTTTTTCTCTAAGGAACATTAACAGAAAGAATTCAGATTCTGACTTCACAATTTAAAATAATATACCAATCCTTGCTTTGTGGGTTAATGAGGTCTCAACCCTAGAAAATAAAAATAAAAGTGATCTCCAGTTTTGGTTGCTAATTACAGCCCTGATGCATCCAAGAATCTTAAAATTGGAATTAAATGTCATGTCCAAGATGGCTAACTTCTACAGTTTATGAACTTCAAACATCACCCTATAGCATCTCAGACAGCCATGTATTTTCTACTGCTGATTTTCTTACTATAAATCGACTAGATTTAAAAAAAAAATTACATTGCAAAGTAATATCCTTCATTTAAACTTTAACAAACACTTTTCAACTTTGCTCAAATTCTGCTCCAAAAATAGCTGTAACTATGCAGTATGAGCACTATTCATGGCACTTTTAAAAGTTCATTTCTATAGTAATCCAATCTGCAACCCAACATACGAATAAATTAACTTAAAATGGCTAATCAGGACTATCTTGTACCTGATGCATTTTTATCTCTTTACAGTGAGAGCATCAGATGATAATACCAATATAGAACTCAATTTTTAATATACTAAATCTGACCCTTGTTCTGCTGTGCATTGTGTGAGCTTTGACAAGCAACCCAACTTCTTTTAATCACCTGAAAAATAGGATATTTTGAAACCAACTACGTTTCTTTAGTAATTGGCTTTCTATGAAGTAATCAGTATTGAACCAATCCCTTATTTCCCCTCAACCTTATCTAACATAGGTCTAGAAAAGTGAGCAGTATTTTTACCATCTAGAAACTTCCTTGCTTTTCAAGTCCCTGCTCCAGTTTGAGCCATTATCTACCATATATTGGCTGTTCATGGAATGTTACAGACTTCCTTACAGATAGCAATGTATCTGTTATCCAAGCCCTTACTGTCTCCAAGGATGACAAGCTACCAGAAAAATATGCTGGTTCAATGGGAAAAGACTTGAAAAAAACAGGTAACTATAAATGGTGCGAGTACGAGGAACACCATTATTCTGATATTGCCTTGAACAAACTCTCTTCTCCTGGGAAAAATACCTTATGAGAGGAAAACCAAAACCTAACACAACAGGTCGGAAGGTCTTTCGTGGAGCCTTTCCAGGATTACATTCAGGCAGCTGGAAACTTCAGAAGACAACAGAAAGTTGAAAGAACCATATAGCTGTAAGCTTTAAAAATGGGAAACGAAGTGAAAGCAATCCATCCTTGTAACTGATATTCCAGCCAACTTAACCAGACAGTAGTATAAAAAGATTGTCAAGGACAACAGATCATGGAGTCCATTGACTCTTTTGGATGAACTGCAAGAGTTATTATTAAAACCCTTGGCAGAGTAAGAGGTTGAGTCCACATTAAGATTCAGAGGCAGATTCTGGAAGGGCTATATATAAATGGAGCAGTTACTGAAGATGAATCACAAATCACTTGAAGGTATGTGTTGATTTGGAGGCTGCAGTAAAAAAAAAAAAAAAGATTCTGAAAACTGCAAAGGGAATCATAGCAAATCCTCTGCAGAGCCCTTAAGGGCCTTCTTGGAATACTATGGAGAAGGAAGATAGTTCTTTGGTCCATGACGACATGTACTGCTGTCAAGGTAACAAAGTTAAGGGAGGTTACCGAATCTGGGCCTTAGGACTGAAAATATAAGAGGCTATCTTCAGACTTATCAACTCTTAATAGAAACTGTCCTTAATGTTTTTCTTTGAAGAGCTTTCTTAATGTTAATAATTAGTTATAGACCAACTCAAGCTTTAGAATCTTTGTCAGTACAATGTTTTAGAGTATTAGACACTTGCCATACTAGTCTCCATTTCAGCTAAAATATAAATTTAAGCTTTCCTCCAAGATGAAAACCTGCACAGGTCATTGCACAACAGTAAGTCTATTAATGCATTCTAAACTAAAACATCTCCAGTTAAATTTACAATGACTTTGTAACTCTCACACTTATGGACACATGAAAAATTGCTATTTTGAATTAGCCACAAACAAATGAGTTAAAAAGAAAAATGAAAAAAATGGAACAAATTTTCCAAGCTTAAATGTTTTAGTCCAGCACATACAGAATATGAGGGGGACAAAGATAAGCAGGGATGTTCACTAGCAGCTAAGTTTACAAAAATTCCCATGGAGAATATCTATTCACCTGTCGTCCTTTTGGTTGTGTTGTCGATGGCAAGTCCTGCAGAATAAAGTCAACCCAGGAGAAGAAATTTTCATTTTACTTTTTAAGGGTATACAACACCATTTGTTAGTGATTCATACTACATTACAGTAAAATGGTAAGTCAGACAAAAGTATAAAGCATTGACCCATGTTTAGAGATATTTTTTTCTTAAAGAAAAATCAAACCCAGGCTGTTTAGCAGCAAGCTGAAGAAAGCAGGTAAAAAGTTTAAGCAGATAGAAAATGTGCTTTTTAATAAATAATTCAGCATCTTCAACACAAAAGCACCATCAAGTGAAAGAGGCTCTTTATGTGAATGCCTTTTCCACTTAATACTTAGTCTTGTTTTTAAAAGAGAAGGATGACTATTATAAATATTAAAAATTTTATTATTAAAAATGTATAATGTGATTAGTTGTTCTGAGGAATAAAATTATAACTACTAATCGCGCTACAAATTCAATTTAATTCACAAAAATTTCTTAAATTTTTCATCCACAATTATTTTTCATTGTATTAATTAATAAGCACTTTACCTTGTGGCAAATAATTTCTAAGTTGTAATTTTTTTAAGAGTTAAAGGAGTAGTTACTCAGTTTTGTTTTTTTAGCTAGTCCCATGAACTCGTGATATTGACAGCACTCTTACTGAAGGAACTTGCGTGTACAGTTACTACACTGGTCCAAACAACGACAAATGATAAACAACACAAATTTTAACATTACTGTACTTTAGAAAAACAGGAGACCAACGGCACCTTTCTACCTGAATACATATGAAACAGAAGTACTTTGTGTTAAAGATGTGATGATAATAGCTTGGTTTGTAGTGCAGTTTAAAGCCACTTCCTTTTGCTTTTCATATCCAGGCAAGGCTCATATTTCACAAAGTATGTGCACGTACCACAACAGCAGAGGGCACACCAATTCGTTAACTCAGATAGCGGAAACCAGTACACGTTCCAGAGGTCTCTCAAAACACAAAACTTAAAAAGAGTCTCAAATGTCTTGAAATACCAACTGCACAGTTATTCTTTCTTCAAACACTGCTTCCAAAGTTCAGGATGGAAATAAAACTTCCACTTGAAACCTTTGCTTAGTTTTGAGGAAACTGCTAACAATGATTTAAGGATGACTGAAGTGTCACATTACAGTTATTAACATTTAATTCACTATATGGCTTTTAATGAGAAGAATATGTTGGAAAAAACCCTTAAAAAAAAGAAAATGGGGAGGTACATATGTAATAACCTTGGTTCTATCAGCAGGACAAAATTTTCCACTGACCACACAATAAGTATAACAGTAATGGCAGATGAGCACCAACAAAACTTTCACACTTTCTCTGTGTGGAACTGGAAATCTTACCGAAACAGAATTGTTAGTGCTGCTATGACCATTAGCTGGGGACTGTCTGGATGTAGAGGGGGAATCTCTCTGAAATAAGACACAAGGTTCATTAACAACACGACACTATCACAGGAACACAGATATATTTAAAAGAACAGTTACATCCACAGCCTTATAACCATTTGCTTAGCTGCTTCATCTGTGAAAGCTTCCACACTACAAACTCCACAAATCTGAAAACTTTTTTCATAGTTTAAGATTCAGGTTTGACATTTCGATGTATCCTAGATAATAACTATTTTTATATTGCCTTAGCAATCAAACAGCTTTTTAATTACTGAGTATCTGGGACCTCTTAGATCTCATGTGGCTGACAATGCTAAAGGCCATTAGTCATACTGGTGTCTTTGTTAAAGGTAATTGCCTGAAAGTTATATGCTGAATAGTACTTTGAATAGAATGAGGCACATACTCCGTTTTAAAGACACTTCTAAATCTTTCTTCAGCTGCGTGGTGGAGGTCAGTGTTGATCAGTTTCTACCCTGTGAGATGCATCTCTCTGCAGTATCTCAAAGACACTGAAGCTAACACATGAGAAGGAAGCTGGATACTCTCTTCTCCCTCCTCATCCATTTTACAGCGTACTGAGGTTTTTTTCCCTCCAACATTCTTATAGGCTTAAAAACATTAAACTTTGCCAAAATATATCACTTTAAAAAAGCCACCTCTCTTAACTTGGACTACCAGTGTGGTCCTACCCTTCATTGAGGAGACAGCGGATGCAGGGTGCACGCCTGGAAATTCTACAGAAAGGATAATAGGAATTTCTGACTGGGTTTTGCAGAGGCAAGAAACTCACTTGTAGAACAATCTTTTTCACATGCCATTTTGATTGTAGTGATTGTGATATAGTACTTAATTCCGTAAGATCAGATAATTCAGCCACCTCTTCAGGAAATAATTCAATCATACATTGTGACAAAAAAAAAATTCCCTTTACCCCCAAAGGAATTTTGAAATATAATATTCCATGTCAAAGGTCAATTTAGGAACATCTGGTAATTTTGCATAACATCAAGGATAGCAGAAAAAAAGGGCTAAAAGTTTTCAAAGAAAACAAAGTTATCCCTGTCACATTTTATCAATACAAGTGCCCTCTGTGAATAAATTAAAAACCAGAATTGGAGCTAAACTGTTCACGCAGCAACATTAATCAGGTAAACGTCCTCTAATAATGTTCTCAAACTTATACTGATTATGCGATAGCGCTCATAGCTATTTAAAAGCATCAAGAAAAGTTAAAATGACAGGCAATACTTTATCACTCTTGCTGCCTGTACGCTTGATGTGCAACAAACTCATGTAGAACTTCGGCACTTTTTTGTGGACTCATTAGATACGATTTCACAGAAAGTTCCATGTGTAGCTATCTAGATGCTTGCTTTGATCTTAAACCAGTTGAGGACAGATCTGGCAATATTATGGCTGTAAAGTCATTGTGGTTCAAAGTATGTAGGTCTGTATGCTTCTGCTACATGCATAAGAACAAAATGCTCATTTGGATCCCAGAACTATTTGCAACATGTAACGGACTGGGGGAAATCAGCTCTAATTCTATTTACAAAATCACTCCAGCATAACAAGTTTAGAATGTTCAAGTGAGACCAAATAAGCTATTCATTACTGAAAAACAAATAGAAAAAAGAAAAGCCTAAAGGAATCGTTATTCCTTTTTTTTTTGTGTACGGGATTATCAGCATCACCTTTATCAAATAGCAGCTAGGAGATACTTTTTACCAAAAAAGCAGTGACTTCCTTCTTTTATTACAGAGATTTTCTGCTTGCTCTGCAATTCTGTCTCTGCAAATTTCTCCCTTTCAAGAAGAGGTGAAAAATTAATTTTACCTTTTTTTTCCCTTTTTCTTTCTTTCTTTTTTTTTTTAAACCTATTTTGTTATGATCTGCTAGTCAGTGATGGTTTAGCAAGGGAAAGCTTTGGAAAGTGATGCAAGCACCCAAGTCATTTGGAGAAAAACAAGTTTAGAGTAATCTGGAGAATACCACTGTTTCCGGACTCTCTTGAAGGCTTCTCCCTTTGAAGAAAATTTTCTTGGTTTGAGAATGTTTTGATTTGCATTCCTCCAACAATTCTCAACAAAAGACAGCATATTACTCAAAGCAAATGTTCATCATAACATATTGAGGAAAATACACATTTTCAGTGCTATTGGTGATTTCAGTACTAACTGTAAGAAATTAATCTATCAAGCTAGTCAAGAGGCAAAGGTACAATTTTTAAATAATTAGGCAGTTCTGCCACAATTTCAAAGGCATTTAGATTCTTAATTTCCTAGTGACCTGGTCTTTCTTTCCAAAAATATCAGACTCAAAAGTTAAGAGAAAAATTGTATTATGCACAGTCTAATGAGACAAATCAATGAGTAGAGAAATCCTTGTAGAATGCTAGGACTGCTTAGAACTGGACTGGAAAACTTCAGCTTTGGTTGTGAGTTTGTTTCTCCAGTAAATCAGAAAAAGCCCTAGTTCTCCTGGGGATAAGATCAGAAAAACACTTGGAGGATCCAATGATTCTGAGTAGTGTAGAAATGTTGTCATCGTATTTCAGTATAACTTGACTATCTAGACTTCCCATTCTTGTGTAGCCCCAAGCCAAATCACAAAATGGCAGTCTTTTGGATCCTTGCTCTTCAGTTCAAGCACCACAGCTGAAGCCGTAGAGGAAATAATCACAATTATTTCCAAACGATGGCAAAACTAGTTTCCTGTTGATTCCTTGTTCTTAGGTGTGGATTATGAATGATAAATAAATGCATTTGAGATGCAATCCTATAGCAGAAGTCAATTATGTCTACTAGATGTGGCCTGATCAAATTAGATACTGACAAGGACAGCTAGATTAATGACACTGTTGCCAGATCCACAAAAAAAAATGAGAGGGACTTTCCAAAAACCTGAAAATACATTTCAGTTTCAGTCTTGCTCAAGGAACCTTTCTGGCAGTATTTTTAATAAAAATGTAAAAAAGGTTTAAGACTATAAAAAGTCTTAAAGTCTGAGCACTAATGGAAACATTGCAAGACTAAAGGAAAAAATCCATGGTGATTACCACCAGATTTCTAAAATATATATGTATATATAAAGGCTTTTCTTCTTAATGAAACAACTTAAGTGTTTCACGAAGACAATCTGAAACATAAAGGATGTTTATAAGTAAAGTTCTTTTGTTAAAAAAAAAAAAAAAATTATTCCCTTACCATTCTCACATATCTGACACTATAAAAAGTTACTTGGGATGTTTTGTCAGTACAAAGTATGAATGCAAATGTAGCTAGAGCAAAATGCTTACTCAGTTGGATGAAGCTGAAATGTATAAACAGCATATGGAGTCATCAGCCATAAAAAGAATGTGTTGCAATAATTACATAAGTGCATGTTTATGTAAGTCTGTAATTTCCTGGATATCTGAAGCAGAAAAACACAACATCCTGGCCACTATGTTATCCAGATATCTGAGTAACTCAGGCCATTTGCCACACCAATGACTAAACAGGTCATCTCACAGTAGATCAGCTGATCAAATTTTTATACAAGGGAATTCATAAGTATTATGTTTTCAAGTCTACTCCATGAAATAGAAGGCCTGGTAAATGAATGGAAGGCATGGGTGCAGGAAAAGCCACAAATCCCTAAGAAACTTGAAATTATTCAGTTGATATTTTGGAAAGTGCCTAGTGACACCAAAGAACCGTTACATACTATAGGGACAAGACTTCCCTAAATATGCAAAAGTAGCTTAATATTTAGAAAACACCAGTACAACACTTCTCTTAAATGCCTACAAAAGAAGAAAAATATGGCAAGTGAAACGCAAATCTCAGTTATTTAGAAAAATAACATCCTGTGCCCCCCTAACCTTTGTGTATAAAGGCATATAGACAGATTGTATATAAAAGGCAGATCACCTCTGATTCTACTAATAGTTGTTCTTATTCAAGATTAACAAAGTGTTTTGCAATCCAATGATGTGATCATGGCAGGAGCCTCAAAAAAACCCCAATTATCGATTCTGTTTTATATTCCTTTTCTGGTAAAACTATACTGCGTGAGCACCAGTCCATGACTGAAGGGAGGGGGGGAACCAAACATAAATTTATACTGAAATATTGCCAAAAAATACCTTAACTAGTAAGATTGTACTAGTTAAGTCCCAATATCTCTGAATTTATTCTGCTAGAGAGCATTAGAAGCAAACTTTTTGTGTCTTAGTAATGTCATTCAACATTAATTTTTAGCCTCTATCAATGGTTAAGAATTTGATTCATTGTCTGAATCACAGTCCTGAAAAATTCTGTGAAAAAAAATTTCTCTCTGTACCAAAGGACTAGTAATGCTTTAATAGGATGATTTAAAAATGTTGGCTTTTTGTAACAGTTGAAAATCTAGCCAAAGTCATAGTGTGGCTGAGCAGGTGGAAGAGACTCAGCCACCTCTGATTAAATGAATGCTAAATGCCATAAAGTGTGATAATTAGACATGCTTAATTTTTTCCCTCTGTCTTTGATCACACATTTCTAGTTTTGTTGTTTTTTCCAAAGGAAGGTAAGAGTCCATTTTCCTCTCTTCCATGAAATAAATAGTCATGAAGAACCTAAGGACACAAAGCTAAGGAAAAGAGATGATCTGCTACTACTAAAATGACACCTAATGGTATTAATTTAAAGCTGCTTGCTGAATTATTTTCTCTAAATAATAATCTTCCCAGCAGGTATATAGTTTCACCAATTTCTGTATTTTAATATTTGGATATGAGATATCTTTTATTATTACTGCTATTTACAGCACAGAAGTCTACATAAGTTTGTCAGCACACTCTAGAATTTCTATTTGAGGTTTTTTTTTTAAAGCCTTTGCATTTCATGAAAAACTTCCGCTTTCATATTTATACTTTTTAAGCAAATCATCCTCATAGGTAAAAATTTGTCAAACCTTCTACCTCTAAAACCTTTTAGTTCTTGTTGACTTCTATTAAAAGTACAGAAGGCAACCAAAAAGCAGTAATTTTTTTCTTTCAAACAGATTATTCCAACAATCAAAATAGCAGTTAATGTGTGTTCTAGCATCTGCTGAGACACAAAAACAATTAGGGTGAAATCACAGCTCTAATTAAGATAAGGTGCTTGACTTCAACAGGGATTGTGATTTCACTCTTGGAATAATTCTAATTTGGGAACTGTTTGCGCAGTTAAGCATGTGGCACAGAAAAGACTGGCATCATCTACATAGTGCGTATGCCATCTGTATGCTTAAATTGGAACAGTATCTCTCAAGTAGCCATTTTCTAGAATTTAATTCCCTTCAGTCCAATCTGGAACATAACTTTGTGAGCAGAAGGGAATTAAACGTTACTGTGCAAAACCCATAATACCAAGTTTCTACTTCAACAAGAACTAACTCCAAATCTGTTTTTCTTCTGTAATGACAAATACCATTTTTTCATGGAAACATACTATTAAGCCATGTGTAACTGTTGCAGACAACCATCACAAATTTACCTCAACAGGGTTATACAGAAACAGATTCTTCAGTTAACCCTTAACAGCCCAAAGCAGTACAAATAATGTTTAATGCCTAAAAAAAGGAGGATTGTTCCTCAGCTGAGGAACTTCATAATAGAGTTCCTGGAGAATGAGTTTAAACTGTAATTTTTTTAAAGGGGCTTCCTAAATGCATGAGTTGAGGATCCCCTTTCCTCTTTTTTTTTTTTTTTTTTTTTTTTTTAATAATAGGCTGTAAAGAGTTAGTTAAGGTGCTGATGAGATGAATATGAAGGCAGGGCTGAGTAGGTAGGTGGGACCTACTCGTGTTCCGTTATCTTTGTTGTAAAATTGGTGTGCGTGATCTAACAGGACAGGCAGAAACAATTTCCCAGAAAGCAGTAACATTCAGCCATCAGCAGGCAGTTAGTTACAGGACTGAGGAAGAAATGGCATGGTTCATTAAATTAATTACCTCACAGGATGAAGATTGCGTGCGATAACTTGGCACAATCTTAAAGGTGATACTTCCACGCATTTCCCTCTGCAAAAAGAGAAGCACTTCTTTAAAGACTAAGACACTGAAGATAAATCTCCAAATCAGTAGTGCTTGAAAGGAAAGCATCATAGTTTGAGAGCAGCAGTACGTTTTCCTAAAGTAAATATTCAGAAAAGCTAAAATGCTATGGTTCATTTGTCATTTCACTCAGAAACAAACATTTAGATTATCTCTCATTAATCTAAAAGATAAACATACATTATTAGTTTGTTCGCCTGACCAGCTTTTGAATGCCTAGAACCTACAGCTGTATTTTAAGGTGAGGAATTCAGAATTCTGCAGAATAGCAGCAGATTGTGGCAACATATTTCCTCAGCCCTATTTTCTTAAATGACAGTTCGAATATAAGTGCCACCACAAGGCTGACAATTGCAGGACTCAATCTGGGCAGACAGGTAAGCAGATTACTTCAAATGATCTTGCAGTTTTTCTCCTTTCTCTCTTTGGCCGGCTTATTGTGAGCCAAAAAAATGCTATTTGCCTGGACTCACTTAAGCTTGTCTGTATAGTTCTGGACACAACAAAAAGATTAGTGATATCATCCAAGATCCCAAGATTAGGGTTGCATGCAGAAAAATTTGCAAGTGTTATGGAATATCAAACTGACTCTGCTAGCAAGGCCCAAGATGGAGATTTCCTGCAAAAAGACAGACTGTCTGAGTTCAAAATATTTTTTTCTTTGTAACATCAATAACCATGAGCCACAATAGTTATAAATTGAAAGAAGGGATCTTCCAGCTACATATACGGAACACATTTTTCCCTGTGATGATAATTATGGAACAGGTTGCCCAAAGAGGCACCTGCCCTGTCAAATCTCTGTCCTTGAATACTTTCAAGGCTTAACCAGACAAAGCCCTGAGCAGCCTGGGCTGAATTCAATGTTGACCCTGCTTTGTGCAGGAGATTGGACTGGAGACCAGCTGACGTTACTTCCAACCTGAATGGTTCTATGATTTACTGCCTTTGTATTTGTGTAGCAATTATACCAATAGGCAAGAAAAGTTTCTTTTCTCTCATAGTATACTCAGTGACTACACTTAGTGTAGACTGAAGATTTAAAGGGCATGATCTTTATAGACCAACTTGTGATAAGTACTAGGAGGAAAGCAGTATTTTTTCTGATATGTCTACTAGAGACAAGAGAAGAAACTCCTGCATTTCAACACAGGAAACTCAGACATTAGAAAAAACTTTCTAAAACATAGAAGAGTTATAAACTAAAGTCAACTGCCCGGAGAGTTTGGGGAAACTCCATTACTCAAGTTTTTTTTTAAGAGCTGGTCAGACATGTGTCCATCAGGATTGGTTGAGTGTCAATGATCGTTTCCATGCGACTATATGGAATAAATAAAATGACGCCTGGAGGTGCCTTCTACTATTCCTGGGTACAACATGCAAAAAAGCAACCATTAAAAAACAGGGGAGAGCCTGTAGAAGGCTTTAACAGCTGAACACAGGAAGACTTTGTGTTACATGCACATGTAGGCTATCAAGAAAAGAAGAAAAAAAGGGAAGTCACAATGCAATTACTTAAAAATTTTGTCAAAATAAGACAGGCACTTCCATAAAGAACATGAGAAAGATTTCAAGCACTTACAAGCATTTTTTGTAGTTGTTCTACAGTTTGATTTGCCACACTGATTCCGTTTATTTCTCGGATTTCATCCCCTACGTGTAGCGTACCTGTGGAGTTAACAAAACACACAATCACCTCAAACATGTTTTTACACATTGAGATAATTGTAAGACAGTACTAACATTCATATGAAGGCATAAATATGAAACAATGTTAAAATACGTTTTTTGGCTAGATTCAGAAAAGGACTTTGGTAACTACGTTTTAGGTACCAAAGATTACGAATCTGTCTTTCAGAGTGCAGTCAATACACCAGCATGAGATGCCCAGGCACCCTATAAAGTATATGGGGAAAACATCAGTCCCTTAAAAAGACACTGCAAAAACCCACACCTTGAAAAGAAAGTCACCTGCAACTAGTCAGTTGGAAACGTTCAACAGAGACATTCAAGCAGTATTTTATCAGGTGACTACTTAATGCAGTTTGGCTTCTGGACATAGTCATAATTTTATCTGTCAGACTGCTGTATTTTTTCATTTCTCTGTTTTGATTTGCCATAGTTGCAGTATGCATTTTCTGTATGTACACTTGACTTCAGCTTGAATGTAAATGATTGGTGTGACTACCTACAATGTCGGATGATGAAACGAGTATCTACTTAGGCAAGTCATAAACTGACCTGCTGAAGCTGGGATGGGAATGGCATGCTACAACATGGCTCTAAGACACTACAAAAGCTCAACAGGGAGGAAGCAGTGAATGAATTATCTTCAGGATTCGAAGCAACCTAGGAGGCTCTTTTTGGATGATAATTTCTGACTTGAGTAGCTCAAGACCACCTAATTCTCTAGCAGTTTCCCCAAAAAACTTCCATCATTTATTATTAGCCAGAAGATGTTTTTCATATGTAATGAAATATGACAAGACCATTTACTTCACATATATTTCTTTCTGCTGTATGATTTAAATAATTTGTGCAAGTATCCTTTTCTAAATACCGTACCTAATACAATTACTGTACCTAATATAATTAATCTTACTTGGAAAACTAGCAACTGGCAAACATTTCCTAAACTAAAACATATCTATGGAAAATTACCTGAAAAAAGCCAATCAACTAGAACCCTGAGAAATCCTTAAAATTCTTTTCCTGAACCAAAATAGTCAGTTTTTCCAAAGAATACCATGCAAGCAAAACTTTCAGCTGAACAAATGTATCAAAAATCAAACTGTGTGCCTGCTAAACACAAGCACAGCCTGAACCAAGGAGAAGAATCCTGAAAAACTCTGTTGCTATGATTCCCTTTGGGCTCTCTTCTGCGAAACAGAAGCTCACTTGGCAGTGCTACAGGAGAGAGCCCAAAGTTTACAAAAACTTTCAGTACTCTCAACAGTCCTTCAGCCACATTAAATGATCCAAACAATTCTACAGGAGCTGATCTGCTGATAGTGAAATTATAAAAAAGGACTCATCACAATTCTTCTTCACTCTTCAGTGGAAAAATTATCACAATTAATAGTTTACTGAATGTGAATGCAACAGTCCTGCATCTGAATTTCAAATTAATCTAGTTTACATCTAGAATATTAAAGACCAAATCTCTAGTGAAACACTTTGAAAGTTCAGTTTTGGCAGACTTTCTCAAGAATGCATTCAATACCCAATTCTTAAAAAAATATTCTAAAAAAAATGAGGCTCTGTGTTGACTGTATCACGCCAAAATTAAATTGTGTTTGAAGTGAGTGTAATTGTTATTAAACAATAATATTGAATCAGAAAGAGCATATGCCCTGGAATAGTATAAAGATTCTTTGGCATTATTCAAAATATAAATCTGATGGAATTAAATATTAGAATGAGAATCAGACTCAGTAATATTTCGGTATCAAATCATTTCAATAGCGCACTTAAATAAAATCCCCTCTTCTGAAGCATTTCCCATTTCTGTTACTCTGACAGAAGTGAATATTGTTCTGTTCATGCCTGGAATGGAGCAGTATACATAAAAGTTGGGAATAAAGCATGGACATTTAGCAGTAGATGGTCATTCTATTTTGGGAGGTGGATGCACTGATAAATCACAGGACGACATTTTCAATCTGAGGGAAAAGGCTTTCATTATTTGCAGAAACTTTTTATAAATATTCTTGACGGAAGAGTATTCTTGACGTCTTTGAATAATGAGTCTTCCGCACCATTTGTAGCTCCCATGATACCTATGCTTAACCATCTGATTTTGGTTGCTTTTGTTTCCTTTTCTATTGGCAGTGCAGTGTTTATTTAGAACTTAAGCTATTAATGACTTACTGATGTATAACACATCTGTAATAACAAAGAATGGATGTATTTCTGGAGTAAATGATTTCTTCCTTTGTCTTTGCAAGTCAGAGTGAAGACAGTTTTAGGAAGTGTGTGCTCTTGCTCTGCACAGAAGTATGAGAAATCCTACCCTATTAGGAAGAAGACAGAACAAATTCTTGGAATCCCTATTTGGAAACATGTTTTGTAGCCAAAAGAAAATTCTGTAGCTTGGAAATTGAAAGGCTGTGAACGTATAACCACATTTTCACCAAGCAATCACATACATTTTGTTAGAATTGAATAAACATTATCAGGGGTATCAGTGTTTTAAAAATCAGCGTGAGTTTTACCTTAATTCACTTCAAGAACGTAGCATAGACAATGTACAACTGCTGCTTTTCTAGTGAGGTTAAATGGGCAGCCGATAAGTCCTCTCTCTTCTTTGGAAATCTTTTAAAATGCCATATTAGGACCTCTTCTTATATGCATTTTAAGAATGAATTCACATTTAAGCACGTATGCCCCAAAACCAGTCAGCAGCAAAAACCCTATGGGTTAAGATACTGAGAGCTGCTGAGAACTCAGGCTATATGCAGATCCCCTGAAAATAATATTAACAGTATGAGTAGTCTAAACAGAATCCACAGGTAAAAAGTGAATGGACAACTGAGCTAAGTTAGGGCACAGACACAAAGGTGAAAGCCAAGTCATAATTACAAGACTGAGATCTAAGATACAATCCATTTACTTATCCTAAAAAAGCAGACAAGTCAACAAAAAGACAATTTTTAATGACTGAAACTGGTGTTTCATTTTCATTGAGCTCAATCCTCTGGAAGGTGCAAGTAGATAGCATCTTTAGAAGCCTATCTCCTTACTTCAACTTCCCCACCTTTTGAATATGGACAACTATAATCAGCAGGACTAGATACAGCTGGCATAGAGATAGGAGACAGACTGCACAGCAGCTACTATTTTGTGATTGGGAATTGCACAGTTTGTACTCAATATTGCTAGACCTGAAATTATATAGTTCCTGTAACCCTCCCAGTAGATCTATTATCTAGTCATTGCTGTTATTGCCTGGCAGTTTTCCATATAGCAAGAGGAGACAGCAGAAACAACAACATAAAAAACCCTGAAACAAACAAAAGCCACAGACCCTGTCAATAGGATTCAAAGACATGCTGTGCTCGAGATGACTGTCAACTTACATTTGCATTGTTCTATTCAGTAAAAATATTCTAAATATAGGTATTTTGAATGAAGCAGTGAAGCTAAGAGGCATCTAGAGAACTAAAAAAATTAGAAACATTAAAAAAAAAAAATAAGATGGCAATACTACAGAAACACTGAAGTATAGTTCATTTTCAAACTAAACCTATGTCCAGAAGACCTACTTTAGTTAGATGAAGCACATATAGAATGGGTTAAATTTCCCAAATTTTTAGAAATAAAAGACCCTGTATAATTAAAAGGAAAAGAACAGAGTTCTAATGGGCATAGTTGGATTTTTTTACCCAGTTTTAACAGGTTTTAAAAGTTTTATTACCCCTATTATGGAACATAAGTCACGTGAAACAATGCTCTGCAGAGGATCACCACTACCTAAGTACATTTGGATGAAAACCTTCTTCTTGTGAATCTTAAGAGCAATCTCCTTTTAAAAGTGACTTTTAGAAGCCAAATAAATTTCAATTCAGAGCATCCTCTATAGGAATATAGAAGTCTAAATAAATTGCATCTTTGCTTGTATGAAAAGTTTTATCTTTCCTGCTTCTTGACAGGCTGGATCATGTCAAGGGGACAAAGTGAATAGATCAGGGAAAGGGTCGCTGTACCTTTTCCCTGTTTCATGTTTTGTCTTCCTAATTACCTGTTCCTAGCTTCCTTTGAAATAGTATAGTAGGCTAGAAGGAACTTTGGTCTGAAAAATGATGAAAATTTTTGTGTTCATCAAAAGAAAAAGATGGCAAACTGGAAAAACTAAAGTAACCCTTCTAAGGGTGCAATCCAAACTTGCAGCTAACAACCTAGCAGGGAAGTTTATCTGTTTAAAATAGGACAAAGCCCAGCTATTTTTTCACAGCTGATCTGGACACACAAAATGGAAGAAAGGAGTAGACTGAAGTTGAGAAAAGATGCATGTCTGCAGGGTTTGCTATAGTAGTGAAAACTGAAAATAAAGATTCAAGTTCTAGGCACAAGAAATATTTTTATTTCACAAATTGTTTTTATAAGCCTCAACATCAAAAGTACAAAGATCCTCAAGAATTGTGTAAAAATATACAGAGACATTTAAATTTTTTGTTCAACAAAGCTCTTCCATTTTTGCAAGGAAAAGTACTGTAACTAGTCTAAGGATTTTTTTTTTTCTTTTTAAACAGAGGATTAAATAAGTACAGCTCCAGAAATTACTGGCATTTCAATCTCTTCCTGAGCTATACTCCCATTATCCTAATTTAGGCCTAAATGAAACATAGTGGGCCCTCATCTCAAAACGCTCGAAGACATCTGCAGCTGGAAGGTAACAAAGGCAGTTAACAGGACTCCATCCAGATACAGAGGTACACTACTATGGATTGGTAGCAAACAAAATGAGGAGCATGTACCGTTACATGGTTTGTACAAAATGATCTAAATAATTGTGTTTGAAGACAAAACTATTTATAACACATGATTACCTTGCCGGTGAATCATTCCTCCGTGCATAATTCTTGCCACAATGCAATGGTTCAGCTCATTCATTTTTAAAGTGATTCCCTACAAAAAGAAATGTTTACACTCTTAAAATAAAACATTAAGCTGTGCGATTCTTGAGTGGTTACAAACAGTCACTTTTCCTAAAAGCTTGAAGGCAGGGTATAAATTTTAAGGTTAAAATAAAAACTTTGCCAGTCACATGAGTGAGCAATGAAAACAGATGCTATTTATAAGTGAACATGCAATAATTTAATATATAAGCATATAACATTCTGGTTTGTTAAAAATGTAATTTTGTATTGAAGTGCAAAGAGTCCAGTTTGGTTTAAAGCCTAGTCTGCTATAACTACTACAAGGTTGTTTTTAAACAAAAACAGCTCTAGTGATACAGCAGTAGTATGAATGCACACATAGCATTTTAAGTTAAGGATATACACAGGAGTATAAGTATCTACAATGGCTGCTGAACTATTCCAATTATACTGGCAACCCTACTTCAAAGTGCAGAAACTCATTAAAGTCATTATAATACTGGTCTTTACCAGTGCAGAGTCAAGAAAAATACCAAGGTTCCCTCCGTACCATTGGTTCATCTGTGTTCTTCTGGAACTGCACCAGTCGAACTCGTGTTACATTCTCCATATCCATGTCACCGTTGGCGCTTTCTGGAGAATCTCCGTTTAAGTATGGAGAGGTGGGAGGAGGTGTAACTCTCAGCGCTTCATCACTGTAAACTTCATGTGCCACTACATCATGAGTTTGAAGTAAGGCCTAGAGGAGATTACAGCAACAAAATATCAGGCCTCCATCATCTCCGATGCCCCCCACTCATTCCTTATAAGTATTTTTGAAGCTTTCCAGAAATTAAAGGAAATTAAAGATATTTGTGCCTCACTTTCTATACAGGAACTTTTCCCTTAAAGGAGTCTAAGATAAACCTCAGCAGACTGTAAATGCATACACACATACCTAACCTTTAAAATCTGCATGAGTAAACCTGATTTTCTACTGTAGATACCTCAGTGAGAATGATGCTGCTTCCCTCTCCCCCATCTTCTTGACACCTGCAAGGTGTCAGAATTAATCCATCTTTATTTATGTGCCTAGACACAGAATTAGGAAGCTACCTTTCTGAGCAAACTGTTCTATAATAATTAACCTAGTAAAATGAAAAGGTATTCAGATCCTGTGGTATATCATTCTAATACAGACAGACTGTGGATCTGCACTGACTGAAAGAATGCAATACTGTTTTTTGTTGTTTACTAGCATAATCAATTCCATATTCTCCCCTTCCCCTAGAGCATGGACCCAGCACAACCACACTGAGTTCAAAATACCTGATAAAAATTACAATCTAAACCAACAAACGGCTCGAATACTACTTCATTAGTTTTACTCTGTTTCTTGAAGCAAAGAATGGTACAACATGTAATTGATTAAATGTATTTAAATATCTTCGGTAAGTGGAACAACTGACTGTGTAAGAACTCTAAGCTAGGGCAAAGACATGAAGCCTCTATAACTGTAGAAGTGTAACATAGTATTATGAGACAAAAGTTGGACAAAGTGTAAACATTTGCAAAGCAGTATTCAGTAGTACCAGGCTTTTTTATGGTATGACATTCTGTTCTCCAGGATATCTTTAAGAGCGCCGTATCACATCCATTTCACATTTGCATTCAACTCTTAATAATGAGTATATTATAGCTAGCTTGCTTCTGTCTAAAAACTGAATACAATTTATATGTGAACATGCTACTTCTACTCCCATACGAACTCATCAAGGACCAGAGATAGATCCTGCCTCTATAGCCAAATGGATGGGTTTCTCAGATTGATAAATCAAGCCTAATTCTTACAATATCCTCTACAATACTAGAGATATCAGCCACCGCCGCAGTTAGGTCAATCTATATTATAGTTAACATCTTGTTAATTTTCATTTCAGTGCTCATAGTTCTTAACTTGCAAAACCCATCAATCTTGCAAGGCTTGAGATTGACCATCTAGAATTTGTTTTGGCAGAGAAATCTGACTCTGCAACATCTTAGTCTTCAATTAAAATGTTTAAGCAGAACTTAAACTGAAAAAAGTGATAAAAAACCATCCCTACAAGATGTATTTCTGAAGCGGAATCCAAGACAGAAATGGGATTTTCATGGCCTCTACAAAATCCTGAATTTTTTCCCAAGCTAGCACTTCTAAAGTGTACCATGTTGTAAAAGATAACTTTATAAACAGTTTAAGTTCCATTTCCTCAAATCAGTTTCAAACTATAGTTGGGAATTCAGCATTATAATGATGGAACGGAATTCCCTAAACTAGCAATGCTCTGCTCACATTCCCTCCTGTTTTTCCAGTGTTTCAAGCCCACTTACACAAATACTATTTTTAGTTAAATACTAAACTGTATCTGCATTTTCTGGTTTTCATCGTATTTTGTCAACCACTAAGCTCAAACTTGCAACAGTTCCTCTGCATTAGTCTGTACTACTGAAGCAACATTTTATCTTTAGAGATCTGGACCATATGTAAGTTAAACCACTTTAATTAAATCAATTCTTTATTTGATTTATTTAATTGGGTGTAAACTTACATGTGAATATTCCTATATAGGTTTAGGGATTTAGCTTAATTCTCATTCTAGCATCTCAAAACTGTTTGCAGTTGTCCCAAATAAGACAAGAGCATCCATGTGCAATCATGCCTTAACTCTGGCTGTTACAAAAAACATCTGTTCTAGGAGTGTGTGTGGTCTTGGCTTTGTGCGCAAGCACTCTTTAACAGAGTAGGACGATCTTCCGTGCTTCCTTCAGCTCCATCTATCAACTTCATGCCCCTGCCTGTATCTGTTATAATCTCCATGCTTTAATATTACATTCTTATGTAATTCAGGGCTTTACATTTGCTTCACATCAAATACTTGCCTTGCATTATATTATATTTTTAGCAATAATATACACCTTGTAGGAGATAAAAATATGGCAATTTGAACATTTTTAAAGGTTCATAATTATACTAGATGACTTCTGAATGTGTTAACAAAAATTAATGCAAATTCAGAAACACCGGATATTAAAGTACAGCAAGCTCAATTTAAACATTGAAAACATTTAATATAAAGACTGCTATTGGACTTTACTTAAAGATAATTGTTTTCATGAATTTGTTAATATTGATAATTTAGATTTCTTTCCTTTGCAGAAAAAGATAATCCTGCTTAGTGAGCACAACTACTTTCTACTGTATCGCAGGATCATTGTCTGCAAAGAACAGCGTAGGAAGGCACATGATGATGGATAAAACTTCAATATGTAATTAACTAAAAGTCACCTAGTACAGCAAACGTTTCAATTGCTGCCACATACTAAACACATATAATAGAACCTTTTACAGACAAAACTGGCACATTTGAAAAACTACTCAAAGTTGTGTAATGGAATAAAAGCTCCTTGAAATTTGTACACAATAAATGAGGTACTTGATAAACTTTAAAGAATTCTTAAATTAATTAGCTACTGAAAGACCTTTATGCAAAATTTATGTACATTTCTTTAAATTAAAATGTTAAGCATGTACAGACTAAATTTATAATTTATACCTGTACCCATAAGCTATAGCTATGACTTAGTCGCCATCACAGAAACATGGTGGGGTGACTCTCACAATTGGAGTGCTGCAATGGATGGCTATAAACTCTTCAGAAGGGACAGGTGGTGGAGTGGCTCTGTATGTTAGGGACTGTTTCGATAGTCTAGAGCTCAACGATTGTGATGATGATATGGTCAACTGTTGATGGGTAAGGATGAGGGGGAAGGCCAACACGGCAGATTTCCTGCTGGGAGTCTGTTATAGACCACCCAACCAGGATGAAGAGGTGGATGAAGCATTCTACAAGTGGCTGGCAGAAGTCTCACAATCGCTAGCCCTTGTTCTCGTGGGGGACTTCAACTTCCTGGACGTCTGCTGGAAATACAACACGGCAGAGAGGAAGCAGTCTAGGAGGTTCCTGGAGTGTGTGGAAGACAACTTCCTGACACAGCTGGTAAGTGAGCCTACCAGGGGAGGTGCCTTGCTCGACCTCCTGTTTACAAACAGAGAAGGACTGGTGGGAGATGTGGTGGTCGGAGGCTGTCTTGGGCTTAGCGACCATGAAATGATAGAATTCTTGGTTCTTGGTGAAGTGAGGAAGGGGGCCAGCAAAACTGCAACCATGGACTTCCGGAGGGCGGACTTTGGCCTGTTCAGAACGCTGGTTGAGAGAGTCCCTTGGGAGA